GTGCGTTTGGACACGGTGACCCGCTCTGGCTGCAGGGACAGCCGTTCTCTCTGCCACGCGCCCCTCCTGGCATCCTCTGGGTGACAGAAGACGCACGTCTCTGCCCTGTGACTGGCTGCCATGCTGGCCACATCCCTGTGCGTGTTGGTCAGCTGCCGGCAACGACTCACGTCTGAGACACCCTCATGTCCTTCACTGGCTGAAGCGGGGCCCGTGCTTGTCACATTCCGTGCCCGGAACAACTCCCCGTCACGTTGGTCTTGGACAGTCCCACGGCTGGCTCGGGGACATGTGGCGGCCCCCGCAGGAGGACCCGGGCTCAGCCCTTCCAAGGGCCCTCCAGGCCCCGGGAGCTGAGGGGTGGGGGCTGCACAGGGCTGGCTCCACGTGTGGCTACGTGGGAGGGAGGAGACCCAACGCGATAGATCCATGGAGCAGGGACCCTCGTCCCTCACTTGTGGCTCAGTGTTCTGGGGAACGTGCCTGGCCCAGCACTGGTAGGTGCACAGCACACACCTGGTGAGGGGGGAGGGAACTGGGCGTGTGACCGAGGGACTGAGCCGGCAGGCCCTCCCCACCCTCGCCCACGTGACATGCTGCTGAATGGCACCTGTCCTGGACACTCGTCTCTGCCCTGTGGCACAAGTGTGTCCCAGCCCCATAAGTGGTGAGCTGGAAGTCAGAGTCTGGATCCTGAGGAGTCCCGCTTCCTTCCTGGTGAGCACTGCGATTAGAAAGGCAGAAGGTCAACGATGGCTTTATGGCGAGGAAGGGCCTCGCGGGATGGGCACTCACCAGGCACCGGCGTGGGCAGTGGTGTCCCTGCCAAGTCCCTGCTCCTTTATGACCACGATTCCAAGATGTAAGAAACAGAAAAACTCCCCAGAGCAGCCTCCTTCGGGTTCAGTGGCAGGACCACTGGGCCCAGCGTGGCTCTGTCCCAGGTACCGCCAGCATTTTTTTAACTGGGTCAGGACTTTTCTGGCTTCAGATACGTTTTCCCAGATCTTGTGTTTAAGGGAATGGAAAAGTGGCATTCAGATACAGGACGTGTTTAAACCCCGTCTTCCTATTCCATTCTGTGACTTAAGTCCCTTCCAAAACCCAAATCCGGTGGAGACGACGCACAGTACACGGCTCTGACCTCTCGCGTTGTCCTTCCCAGTTGGAGAAGAAGCAGGCCCTCCCGCCGTTCCAGCCCCAGATAACCGACGAGTACGGTCTGGACAACTTTGACACCCAGTTCACCAGCGAGCCCGTGCAACTGACCCCTGACGACGAGTAAGGCCTCGGGAGGGTGGCGTGGCGAGGCAGGGGGAAGGCCGGGGCGGGGCCTGTTGGGCGCTGGGAGGCTCTCCGCTGGGGGCGGGGCCTGAGGAGGTGAAGCCGCGGCGGGGCGGGGCCTTCTGGGGGCGGGATGCCGCAGGCTGAGGGCGGGGCTGTGAGGGGGGGGGGGGGGGGGTCCGGCCCCCGGGGGGGGGGGGCGGGGCCTGCCGCGGGGGCGGGGCTGACCCAAGCCCGCGCTGGTTCTGTGCACCCAGGGACGTCATAAAGAGGATCGACCAGTCGGAGTTTGAAGGTTTTGAGTACATCAACCCGTTACTGCTGTCCACCGAGGAGTCCGTGTGAGGCCGTCTTCTGTGTCATGGACACGTCTGTGAATGACCCCTTCACTCTATCCTTAACCACAGCGCATGCATGCCAGGCTGGGCGCGGGGCTCCGGGCGCGGCCAGGGAGGGACGCTTGCCGCTGAGACCGCGGACGGGGGCGTCCCGCCGGCGCTTCTCGGGGCGGACCGGTCTCGCGTCTGGGCCCGCGCGGCCGGCTTCGTGCTGGAGGAACCTGCTTCTTGTGCCTGCGCCGCGGAGGAGCCGCGGTGACCGTGTCCGAGGGACAAACTGCCCCACGATTTCGAAGGTGCACACTTTCCACAGAAACAGAACTGACCTGCTCCGCCAGGAGAGTTAGCCTGTAACGTCCTGAGGAATAAAATGTGCCCATAATGTCGAAGCCTGCCTTCGGTGCCTTTTTTTCCCGCCAGGGGCGCCTGCCCGGCCTGGCAGGTGACATCACACGGGCGGGCCGCAGCGGGCGGGGCCGTGCACCTGCAGGAGGCTAGATTCGGTAAGTTCCTGTCGCTGAGATTTAACACATATTTTGTTTGACTTTTGTTTTTAATGTTTGTTTTTGAGAGACAACGAGTGGGGGAGGGGCAGAGAGAGGGGGACACAGAATCCGAAGCGGGTTCCATGCTGGCAGCACAGAGCCCGACACGGGGCTTGAACTCAGGAACAGCTAGATCATGACCTGAGCCGAAGTCGGACCCTTCACCGGCTGAGCCCCCCATGTGCCCCTTAACACGTAGGTGCTTGAACAGCGGTGCGGGCTGATGCAGAGGGCACGCCTCACCCAGAGTGGGGCATTGGATGGCAAGGGGCCGGGATCCTAGATTCTAACGCTGCTCCCCGAAGCTCCCGAAGACCACAGAAAAGGAAGAAAATCGAACTAAACTTGCACAAAATACTCCTGAAAACACTAAGCAGCGCCTACGTGATGTCTTACGTATTAAATTTTTAAAAAACTATTTGTATCAGTAATAATGATGCTCAGAACTGGGAAGTTTGAACAGATCTGTGTGGGTGGCCGTCCGCTTACGGAATAAGTCTGGAACACCCACACGCTCGCTCCTGACACAGCCCGCCTCCTGCCCCCATAACCTGCCCAGGTGGCACGCGCCCATCACCCTCCTCCTCGGATGAATGCCAAACTGAAGGTTTTCTAAAAGGAGGTGAGCCGCCTCTAACACGCTCCTTGTGGCTCGAGCCCCGGGCAGGGCGTGGGAGGGCTCGTCTTCCACCCGCCGGACACACCGAGTGTCCCTCTGCCCACTTGTGCTCCGTCACCACACGCACCGCATCCCCGCGCACCAGGGCTCGCCTCCGCACCCCGCCTGCGGCTGGGGGTTTGGGGCGGGAGATGGTGGTAGGAAAAGTGGAAACGAGGGGCCGCCTGCGTGGCAGTGCCCCCGTCCTGCCCTGACTCCGGCAGATGAGCCGACTCGCGTGCTCAGGGCGAGGCACCACCGACCCACAGCCCCCGGCCGCCCGTGGCCTCTGGACCCTCCCACCCCGGTTGCAGAGCAGCCTTGACACGACACGGACACTTGCCCCAACCAGCACCTCAACCGCAACCCGGAAGTGTTGCCTCCGAAGACCGAAATTCAGGACCGCAGAGCAGATGCGGGAGCCAACTTCGGGGTCTCAGTGTCACAGCCGGTGGTGACGTCCAGTAGCACGGCTCCTGTCGGAGGGCCACGCGGTCACTCTTGACTGGTGAGCAGCGCCCGGGGATGAGCGGATGTCACCTGGGGAGGGTGAGACCCCCAGCGCGCCCAGGAAAGGGATGACGTCCCCTGAGAGCCCCCTTCGTCCTGATGGGGGCCATTTGCCACAGTGGGTACAAGGACAGCGTCTGCAGGGGCCCCGGATCTGTCCCCATTTGCAGCACATATTTCCCTGCCGCGGTGCCACCAGCTTCCCAGTTATCAGCGTGGCCGCTCACGTGTGGACGTGTGCAGCGTCCCGCTTGTGGCCAAAGTGTAAATTAAGGTGCAGGACAGATCGAAGGGGGGGTCGGAGACAGCCATCCCGACATTTGCCAACGGCTCTGGGCCCCGTACGGCGCGCGTCCTTCTGTTGGCCCGAGGAAACCAGAGCCACCGCGCTGTCCTGTGTGGTCTGTGCGGTTACGAGCCGTGCGGCTGGCCGCCTGCCTCCTGCAGACGATGCTGCCGCCCTCGGGCCCAGGCCGTCCGGACTCTGCCCCTCGAGCACAGGCCGTAGCGAACACACTTGCGCTTATTTTCGTCAACGGTGGATGTTTCTAGGAAGCAGCAGTTTTTTAAAAAACAGGCTTTATTTAGAGCAGTTTCAGGTTCACGTGAAAATGGCGGGGCAGCTGCAGAGCCCCCCCGCGCACCCCCCGCCCTCGTGGTCCCCCTCCCCCTCCGAGAGGCTGCAGGGACGCGGCATCGTCTCCAGGGTGCCACGTGAACGTCTCGGTGCTGGGCAGCACGCGGGTTTGCACAGAACGTTTCAGGACACGTATCTGCCACTTCAGCTCATGCAAAGTAGCTTCGGCCCCGAGAGCCCCCCGGGCTCCCGATTCGTGCCCCTCCCCCATCCTCTGGCCACCAGTGGTCTTCTTCCCATCTCCGTGGTGTTGCCTTTCCCAGAAGCTCCCCCGGTTGGAGTCCTGTCCCAGGTAGTCTTTTCAGAGCGGCGTCTGTCACCCGGTCCCCCCGTGGTCCTTCCGTGGCTGGTGTGACCCGCTTCCCGCTGCCGGCGCTCTACAGCCACGTGGCTGTGGTGGGGACGAAGAGGTCACCAGAGCCCGTGGGCCACCAGCACCGGAAGGAAAACTACCTATACGGTCTCGTGCCCCATTTTCCACTTGCCCTGGAAGCCCGAACACAGGGCTGGTGCGGAATGTTCCGGCAGACCGGCCTGCCCACTGCCGGTGGCGCCCGGCCCGTTCCCTGCCCTGAAGTTCCCCACTGGAGGAGACGCTGCCCGTCGGCGAGGTCCGGGGTGCCTCACAGTGATTCTCTTCACCCCGTAGCAGTCTGCGCCATGCGAGGAACGAGTTCATCCGGGGAATGAAAACACGGTGCGAGCAGAGTCCGTGGAGGTGGGAGAATGCACTGCCCCCCGCCTGTCCACCTGTCTGTTGACGTGGCCGACTTTGGGACAGACGCCTAGTTTGCTCGCGAGAGTCTCCGCTCATCTGCGCGGGCCGGGGTCCGCCCGCCAAGGGGCTCTGCCCATTTCTGACTACAGGAAAGCACCCCGCTTCCCGAAAGCCAGAAAGGATCCTGGGTTTCGGCCTCAAGACGAACCACCTACGACGCCAGCTGTCCACACGGACACGTTTTTTAACAGGCAGCTTCCAAAACGGTTCTGGTGGGTGGAGTCGGGGCCTCCGTGCCCGCGGGGCTCACGCACGTCAGTCACCACACCACGTCCTCTGCGCTCTCCTCCAGGCACTGAGCGAGGTGGTTGTCGATGTCCAGCCGGGCCAGCCTGCGACAGGGAGATGGTCACTCGCACAGAGGGAAGGGCGCCCAGCACACACGTTCCCGCCCTTCCCTCTGCTGACGAGCACAGCGAAGGTCAGCCAGAGAGAAACCCAGTCTCCACAGCTGGTCAGAACCCCAGGGGAAGGTCCGGGGGCGGGGGGGGGGCACCAACCAGAAAAGGCCCTTCCCCAATCCTGTCCCTCGGGGAGGTTTCTCTGGGCCCAGGCGCTCAGTGCACCTGCCACGTGTCCGTCAGACACGTTCTCGAGGCTCACGCAGACTCCTGCCTCTGAGGCTGTGGGGGGGGGGCTGGGGCACCCTGTGTCTGAACGAACCCCCCAGGGGATTCCGGCCCCGACTCGGCTTGAGAACCTCACGGCTCCCAGCCAGCTGCTGGGGCTGGGGCCTGAAAGCCCGTCCCCAGGAAAGGGGATCGGCAGAGACCATCAGCGGCGCGAGAACGGGTCAGCAGCTCCTCCGTCAGGCCTCACGATCTTCCTTCCTCGTGCCCACACCCCCAGAGGGCTGAGCCCCCCGACTGCAAGCAGCAAGGCTCCCGTGCCCACCGCAGCGTGGGGTCTACCTTACCCGGTGGCTGGCCGGCCCACAGCTCCTGGGCCCCCTGCTATCGGCCACCCCCGGACCAGGCCCCCCTCGTCCAGCCCTGCTCATGCTCTGGACGGGCCCAGCCTCCTCCGTCTCCCTGGGCTCGGCAGCCTGGATAACGACCCCTTTCACATTGGGACTCGAATGTCACCCACAACCTCTGCCCCAGCCCGGGCATGTGTCACGGCGGACGAGGCCCCACCTGCACCTTAGAGTAGAAGACATGGGTCCTGCCCCCAACGACAGCTCTCCCCACCGGGGCTCCCCGGGTCTCCATCAGTGGCTGACAGAACAGCCGCCTCATACGTCCTGAGTCCTGTCGGGACCTCTGGAGACGCCTGCGGGACATGGCCTCTGAGGGGATTTGCCCGGATGGCTTCTCTCCTCTGAGACCGCCCAAGATGGGACCTTTCCCCTGCCCACATCTGGGGCCATCCTGGTCAGCTGGCCAAGTTCTCCGGCCAGAGGGGAAAGGCCCTTACCCGGGGCATCACCGCGAGGCCCTGAGGGCCACAGCACCGCTCTCACCCTGTGGCTCGGGGAGCCCATGCCCGTTCTGGTGGCCGTCGGCGCCCTCTCAGACCCTGTAGGCGGCCCGATGTGCTCTGAAGTCCCTGGGGCCCCTGCGGGCTCTCTCCGAGGCTCCCAGAAGATTCTAAGGTCTGCACCAGGCCACCCTGTCCGGGAGGTACCCTCTGGGCCCCTTCGGACCTCCCCCTGGTAAAAGAGCTCTGTCTCGGCCAGACCCGGTCTACAGAGTCGCTGCGGCAGCTTGTCCCAAGACAGGCCTGCCTCGCTGTCACATGGGAACCCAGTGCGTGGACAGCTGGCCCGGCGGCACGAGAGGAGACTCAGCCCAAGATCCTCCGCTGGCTTCCGACTCAAACGGAGGGGGCTCCGTGTCTGGCAGCTTGAGGGGCCTCGGAGCTGCGAGACGCCAACAAGCCAGGCTCTCGTGGAGCACAGGGGACACAGCTCAGCTTCCGGTTTCCACGTCTTCATGGCAGCTGGCCCATGGGAGCCTGTTTTCCCAACCGTGTGTGTGTGTGAGACTCACGGGCATCAGAAAGTACATGGGGCACCGGGCGTGGCAACAGGCACATCTTCAGGGCACGGGGCTCACACCCAGTCTGGCGAGCCCAGTACGTGGTCGTCTGTCACACTGAAGAATAAAGCAGTGCCCCGAGTGACCTGGAAAACGCTAAGGCTTTGAGAAGATCGGCGAGTTTGTCCTCATGCGCCGTCTCCCCGAGGCACATACTCCGCCAGAATCGCTATGGGCGTCTGTGTCCCCTCCCCCCCCCCCCCGGGGACGAACACGGAGAGCAATGCGTGACTTTGGTTTCCGGGGGAGAAGTTCCCAAGTGGGGCGCCTGGCTGGTTGGGCCAAAAGAGTGTGTGACTCTTGGCGTCGGGGATCATGAGTTCGACCCCCACGTTGGGTGTAGAGTTTACTTTTTAAAAATTAACATTTAAAAAATTCCCAGAAATTACTAAAAGCCCACGCTTTTCTAGAAACATCACCAGACAATTTGACAGTTCGATTACCGTGTCCACCTGCTAACCCGGGCCCTCCCAAGGCCCAGTCTGTCTCCTTGCCCCGAACATCCCACAAAGGACGTGAGCCTTCGCTTGCAGGGACCCGGGATGTCTGTTGTCCCCAGTCACAGCCACAACCTGAGGGGTGTGCTCTGGCCCACGGACCCTCTCCCTCGTCAAGTGGAAGAACGTGCCACGGCGTTTCCGATGCGCGGAGACGTGAGCCCAAACGCGCCGACACCTACTTTGGGAAAAATGAGGCGCACTCCCAAGTCTTCCTTCGACTGCTTACAAAACCCGAAACTAGAACTTTTCCGTAACGTCTCCGTCGCTGGAAGTCTGTTTTTTAGACTGTGCACAAATGCCAGCATGCCAAGGACAAAAAGAACCCCCCAGAACAGGAGACCGGTTGGGGCACCCCGACCGCATCAGCTCTCCAGAAAACCATTTCCCTCCGGGGCTCCCGAAGGTACCAACGGCCCCTGGGTTTCTGTGGATAGGGATGAGTCAGGAAATCAGGAGGACCCCCGGTTTAAAGGTGCTCACTGCTTTGTCAGAACGGGCAAGCGAGCCCCAAACACCGGTCCTGGCAAGAGGCAGGCAGGACGGCGAAAGGCTGGGTCTGCAGACACTGTGCAGACCTGGCGCTCACACGACAGCCAGGGAACCTCCTGTGGGCCACCGGGCTCCCTTCTCCATGCCCGGCAGGTGGCTTCCCCTGCCGGGGCCTCACCCACTGCCTCGCCCGACCTGTGGGCTCCGCGAGGCGATGAGCACAGGGGTGCCGGGCCCACCCCCCAACACCAGGCTCTCAAAGGCTTGTTGTGATACAAAGCGCAGCCTGGAGAAGCCCAGACAGCTGAGCACAGACGGGACGTCGTCTCTCTGTCTAAAGGCCTTCCCGTGCGGGCTCCGCGCTGCTGATTTTCGTAAGGTTTGCTGGTGTTTGCTCTGTCGTCAGCGGCTCCATTGTCTTCACCGTCCTGGGCTGTTTTTGCTTCCGGGGACCAGGGACGTGACCCGCGACTTAAGGACACCGTTCTCCCAGCCACGCGAGGTCCAGCGCTGGTCCGCTTACTGAACCTGCTGTCCATTCACTTCACTTGACCGGGATCCTTTTGATAATCCTGACCCCTGTGACCCCCACGTCTGTGTCCTGAGCTGTGTGACACATGGCCCACGAGCTGGGCGTCTGGAGATTAATATCTTAACAAAATTGGAGGCACTCCCCTTACTTAAAAAAAAAAGATATACATCGAGTTTTTAAAGAACAAAACACCTCTACGCACAAAAAGTCATTTTTAAAACCTCCAACCTACCACTGGGAAGGTACCGGTGAACTATGTACACAGGAAACTGCTTGGTGACCCCACAGTCTGGCAGTCACCACAGGGACCCTGTGTCAGGGTGGACCGGCTTAGAGGCGGGGGAAGAGGTTCGGTGCCCCCCCCCCCGGGTCGTGGCATCCTCTCCAGGGAGGAGAGGGCCGGCGGACCCCCAGACCTGCCCGTCTCCCGAGGCGTGCAGTCCCTGCGCGCCGCGCACTCCGCCCGCACGAACTACTGTTTGAAGGGCCCACAACTGAGCTCGGGCACCCTGAACCCCCTAAAGCCCGCTGTGGTTTCCAAACAGGGCTGGGGTCCGCAGAGGCGGAGGGAGGCCGAGGGCGGGGCGCACTCACCCGGGGGCGAAGTCGGTCTGGCACATGGGGCAGGTCCGCAGGGTCGGCGCCGCCTCCCACGGTCGCTCCCGGGCGCCGGGGGTCCCGCGGGGCTCAGGCCCCAGACATCGCTGCGGGGACCGGGCGGGGGACCCCGGGCGCCCCCCGGCCCCAAGGAGCAGCTTGTAGCAACGGCCTGAGCCCCCGCCTCCGCTCGGGGCCGGCGGGAAGGGCGTCCAGGAAAAGGTGTGGGGTCCCACGGTGAACACCTCGGGGGACGCGGCACGCTCGGGACCGCGTCCAGATTCCTGCCAAATGGGGTCGACGGGCCGCGTCATTGGTGCCTGGGCGCCTCCGGGGCCAGGGACACACACACGGCCACCCCGGGGGTCCCCCCGACGCACCGGGTCGGGGAAGGCGGGCAGCGGCGGCAGCTCTCCGTCGGGGTTCAGATCCGCTCTCGCAGCGCGCAGCAGCTCCGCCCACGGCCGCGCGCACTCGCCTCCGTCCTCCGGGAGGGGCCCCGCGCGGCCACTGAGCGAGCAGAGAGACCTCAGTGGGGGGCGCTCCGCAGGGGGCCCGTAGGGAGGGGGCTCGGGGAGGGCGGGTGGGAGCGGGAGGACCTCGGCGGGGGGGGGGGGTGGGGCTGGAGCGGGGAGACCTAGTGAGCGTGCGTCCCGCGGGGGAGGGGGCTGGCGTGGGCAGGGAGGGCTGGGGGGGAGGGGGGCGCGGGGGAGGGTGACAACTTCGAGGGGGCGGAGCGAGCCGGGTTCTGGGAAGCACACACGGGCCTGCCCCCAGCGCCCCGCGCCCCCTTCCCCCGTCCCGCGGCCCCCGGCCTCACCCGCCCCCCGAGGACGGCCTCCGGCGGCGCAGCCCCAACCGCGGCCTCCGCGCCGCCTCCATTCGTCTCGAGCCGCGCGTCCGGCGGAAGTGGGCGGCCCGCCGCGGACCCCGCCCCCGAGACAGGCCCCGCCCCCGGCCCCCGCAGGGCTCCCCGCCCCCTCCCTGCGGGGACAGGGCCCGGGCCAATGGTCCCGGGCGCCAATCTCCCGCCTGGGCGCCGTGGACCCGGGCCCCCTCCTCGACCTGACCCCACCCGCCCTTGTGCGCGCTGGGAGCCGCGCTTTGCACCCACCCCAGCGCACCCCACAGCCTGCTCCTCGCGGCCCCGAGGCAGCCTCGCCTTTGGGACACCGTCAGGGAGGAAGGAGTTCTGACCTCAACATTTGGGGAGACTGAGGCCAGGGGTCCCTCCCCTAACCAGAGGTGGGACTGAGGGAACTGATTTCCAGCTGCAGAGGGACGTGGGGGGACCCATCTCGCGCTGCCCCCCGGTAGGTTTGGGGTCTGCAGAGGTTTGGGAGGAGAAACTGTACATGAAGTCAGGCCAGGGGGCCCTCCGCATCCGCCCCCGGCAGCCACCCTCAGTTAAAGCCCACCTGCCCCATCGCCTGGGCCGGCCCTGGCTCTCCCACCTCCCACCGCAGGAGTCAGCTGGGACCCTCAGCTTCCCTCTCAGTCCAGGCGGAGAAAGGGACTAGCCTCCTCAGGACCATCGAGTTTTCCTAATAAAGGGAGGAACCTGGTTTTTTTTTTTTAATTAAGGGGGGGGAAAGTGAGGCAACAAGGTCCAGGTGGCCAGCCAAGGCGGGGAGGGGGGCCTCTAGGGGAGGGCCTGTGGGGGCTCCCGGAGACTCTGGCGGGGGGTGGGGTGGGGGGGCTCTCGCCGGCGAGCCCCCAGCCCACCACTTGGTGGCAGCAAACGTCCAGGCACCCTCCGCTGCTGCTGCTCCTGCGGAGCCCTGTGCCCCGTGGGCCCCAAGACCAGGCTGGAGTGCACAGGGAGCCGGGGGGCCGGAAGCTCCCCTCCGTGGATACGTAGATGTCACTTGAGGCGCTGGGACCCCGGCGGCTTTGGGGCTCTGCTCTTGCACCCCCTTCCTCAGGGCTCCCACGGCCCAGTTCCAACCCTCCTCACCCTGGCCCCTCTGCGCGTCACGGTCCTGCCCTCCGCCAAGTCCAGGTCTTGGGCACCCCCCCCTCACTGCACACTCCAGTCCCAAGGCCCCCCCATCCCGAGGTCAAGGTCACCCTTCATCCAGCTGCCAGGACAGACCTTCACCGGGGGGATGGGGGGGGGGAACGGGCCTGTTCGCCAATGCTCCCTGAATGTCTACCTGTGTCGGGGACTGTCGTAGATACTAACGCCCCCCGGGGGGAACGAGGCAGGGTCCTCACCCCCAGAGCCTGCCCACCGATGGAAAACAGACCCCACGTGCATAAGCCAGCAGAGCTGCAAGCAGGGGGTCCCGGGAGTCCCTAGAGGAGGCGACCTACCGCGGGGCCTGCTCCCAGGGTAGGGAAGCCCAGACGGACCCCAGGCATGCAGGCCGCAGGAGCCTGGCAGCCCCGGGACTGCCCAGTGGCTCATGTCAGGGGTTCCCACGCGCCCGGCTCCAGCCTCCACAGCCTTGAAGCCTTTGATGGAAACACCAGCACTTCTGCGGTCCGGGCCACGGGGACACGCGGGAGGGCCAGCGCCACGCCTGAGGCAGAGGAAGGCGCCGACTTCTCTCCGGGAGCTGAGCGCCGTGGTTCAGTGTCCCAACTATTCCTGCCCCTTCCAGTGCCTTCCTCTGTAGACCTCACACGGCCTGGGCTCCTGACCAAGAAAGGCAGAGCAAGGCATTGGCAGGGAGACTACTGCCCTGGCCTGAAGGTAGGTGACCCCCCGGTGAGGGCAGGTGTCTCCGGTGAGGACAGGTGACCCCGTGGTTAGGGCAGGTGTCCCCTGGTGAGGGCAGTCGTGCCCCGGTGAGGACTGGTGCCCCCGGTGAGGGCAGGTGACCCGGTGACCGCGAGCCCAGGGAAAGAGTCAGGGCCTGACAGAGCCTGGCTGTGGCCTAGGGCCCAGAAGGGGGGGGGCACCCGTTCTCCAGCCCAGGGGGCCTTGCTTGCCCTTGGCTGCCAAGGGAGAAGCCCGGGTCCCCAGGCCAGGCCGGCGCCGCCTGGGGAGCAGAGGCCCTCCGGGAGCCAGAGCACCGTGTACAACTCGTCCTCCTGGGGGCTCCTCCTCCCTGGTTTCATCCGGCTCCCGGGGATCAACTCCCCCCCTCCCCCCCCCCCCCCCCCCCCGCGCCTACAGCCTGGGACGCTTCCCCGGACAACGGAGCTGGGGTGACCCGCCAGGCGGGGGGCAGGTGCTGGCGCCTGTCAGGAAGCCCCGCCCCTCCCCCTCTCTGCCACCGCCTGCCTGACAGACAGCTGCCCCGCTGCCCCTGCCCGCACAGGGACCTTTTGCACGGGGAGTGGAAGCGCCAGGTCCCCTGACGCAGCGCCGGTGTGGGACAGGAGAAGGTCGGACGTTGAACTTGATCGAAGGCTCACGTTTTCTGGGCCGCCCGCCGCGGTGACAGGCAGCGAGTGGAGCTTCACTGGAAGATCATTTCTGATTGTGACAGATGCCCGCCCTGCAGAGACAAGTTCCGTACGAGCCAAATTCGTGTCTACGGAGACCGTCTCTGCGAGAAGAGGCCCCCTCGGGCAAAGCAGCAAGTGCAGGGCAGGGGTGCGGGAGCCCGCAGCCAGCAGCCCACTCCAAGCTCTCCCCGGCTCTGTCCGCAGGGCAGTGCTGGCATGTGCGTGATGGGCCGGTGCCACCCCCTCCCGGGTGCCGGGTCCAGCGTGGGACATGTGCGGCCGGGCGGTCAGGGGCCCCTCGCTCCCGCCACCTTCCACCACCAGGGAGCACAGGTCTCGGCTCCTGGTGCTCTCAGAGCCAGGTGGGTGCGGGTTCCTCGCTCCCTCTGGGGGAGCGAGACCGACCTCCCACAGGTGCCGATGTCCCTGGGAGCCCAGCCGAGGTTCCCAATCAGACCCTGCTCCGAGGCAGGGCTTGAGCCCCGCGAGGCCTCTAGCCACATCCTGGCCCGGAACAAGCTGGGGCGGTCTAAGCCCCCCGCCCCCTCCTTGGACTTTGGGGGGGCCGGTTCTGCCCGCGGGCCACCGTGCAAATGGGGTCAGGACGGCACACACAGGCGGAACAGGGGCCGAAGCAGGCGGGCACGACCTGGAGAGCCCTGGAAAGCGGAGCGGCCTTCTAGGTGACGCTGGCTGTGGGTGGCGCGTGTTCACGGCGGGGCCGCCGCCTCCCTTGCCACGTGACAGGACAGCAGGGCTCCCGCTCAGGGCGCCCCGGCCGTGCCTGCTCTCCAGGTGAGGACGGCCCGGAATGCCGGGCCACCTCCTCCCCAGAGTTCGGCCCTCTGACGAAGCCAGGCACCGGGCTCCGCTGGACCACACCTGCCGGCTGGCGTGTGCCAGGCTGGCAAGCCTGCCCGCAGCCAGGCAGAGGCATCCGTGGGCGTGCGGAGTGCCTGGTAGACGGGCCAGATTGAAGCAGTTGCCTGGGAAACATCGCAGGATCTGTCGGGCGGCGGTGGGTGTGTGGGGCCCGCTCACCGGCTCTGGAACAAGGGCGTGCGCGGCCTCCTCCAGGGGTCCCCTCCCGGCCGCAGAGGGATGGGCGTGGACGGCCGGGACACGGCGGCGGGCAGCGGGCTGCAGCCCCCGCTCTACGAGCCCAAAAGCCAAGAAACAGCTGGGCGTTGGCACGGGAGAGACGGCGGCTCCGTTTGCAAGCCCTCACCTCTCTCCAGGACTAGTTTCCGAGCCCTGCTTCCAAGCCTCCCCACCCCGTCCCAGCGTCCCGTAGAACCTTGTCACTGCCGTGAGGTCCCGCGTCCCGCGCCCCCTGCCCTGTCCTGCGCCCATGCCCTCTGCACAGCCACACCAGCCCTGCCTGTGTCCCCGTGTCTCTGGCTCAGGCTTCTGCCCCCCACGGGGTCCCCCTCCTGACCCTCGGGCTCTGCTCCGGTGCCCCCCGCGCAAAGAAGCCTTCCTGAGCCACCTGAAGCTCCTCCACAGGCCCTCCATCCACCGGGTGGCCGCTGCTGGCTTTTCCTACCGCACAAGTGGGGGCGGGAGGCCGGGGATGCCGCTACCTTCCCGGAGGGCCAGCCTGCCATCTGCTGCCACCGTGTCCCCAGAGCCTCCGGCGGTGCCGGCCGAAAGGGGGCCCAGACGGGACTCTTCGGCCGACCCTGAGTGTGAGCCGGGGGTGGGCAGCGCCGCGGGCTCTCCTCCTGTGGGGAGCAGGGGTCACGTCAGGGGGTCGAGCCACGTTGCACCAAACTGCGTCCGCTGGGAACCCGCGAATGGGACCCGATCTGGAGGCCGGGTCTCCGCGGACGGAATCAAGTTAAGAAGACGCCGCGTTGGGTCAGGGTGGGCCCGCAGTCCACCCCGACTGGTGTCCTTGTGGGAAGAGGGAAGCTTGTCAGAGCGACACGGCCCGGGGGCAGGAAAGGTCCTCCCCGGGGCCTTCGAGGGACGGCGGCCCTGCGCACCGTGAGTGGGGACTGTGGCCCCCAGACTGTGCGAGCACGGACTAGTTCTGTGGTTCTGAGCCCCCAGTCGTTTGTGCGGCAGCATCGGCACACCGTCTGCTTCAGCACCCGGTGCGGTGGGGTCAGTTGGGGGTGACTGGGCATCCCCGACCCGCCTGTCTCACCCCCTGCCCGCTGACCACCCCCCAGAGCGGAGGAGGCCGCTGCCGCCTGAGAGTATGGCCCGGAGCAGGCCCAGCTCAGCCTCAAGCTCACGAATGTCCCAGGGGGCGCCCAGGACGGGGCGACAGGGGTCAGACCCACTCCCAGCGACTGGGGGGGGGCCCCCCCCCGCGGCGCCCCCCCCCCCCGGGGCCCCCCCCCCCCTCGGCCTCCCCAGAGTGGGCGTGGCTTCTCCGCAGGGACCGCTCGTCCCACCTGCTGCCTCCTTAGGACAACCCTGCCAGGGCCTTGACTTCCTGGGATGCCGGCAGGTCCCTGTGCCTTCCAGGCCCCCGGCCTCGGCCACCATGAGCCATGGCTGCACGGCCACCACGAGCCCCCGTTTCTGTGAGGCCAATTTCCAGCCTGGCGCTGTGAGAGAGCTCTGACCTGGAAAGCTGTCATCCGCTTCCCTGGAGGTGTCCTTGAGTTGGCTCCTGGGGCACCTGCTGGGGCCCACAGTAGGGGGGGGGGGTTCTCTGTCAGAGGAGCTGCTGGGCCTCAGCCTGGGCCTTCACTCCTCCCCTTCTCCCCTTCCTCCCTCTCCCTGTTCCTCCCCTTACCCTTCCACCTCCTCCTCCTCCTCCCTCTCCCTGCTCCCCCTCCTCTCTCTCCCCTCTCCCCCTCCCCTCCTCTGCCTCCTCCCCTCCACTTCTCCCCTCCTCCCTCTCCTCCCCTCCCCTCCTCCTCCTCCTCCCTCTCCGTGCTCCCCTCCTCCCCCTCCTCCCTCTCCATGCTCCCCTCCTCCCCTCCTCCCTCTCCCTGGTCCTCCCCTTACGGCTCGATGGTGTCCGGATCGGTGGACGGGGGGGGAGTATATTTGGGGGGCGGGGATCGGGATAGCGGGGTGTGGGGAAAGGTTGT